AAAAAAAAAAAAAAATATGCACTGTATGATTCCTTTATACAAGGTACTAAAACAAGCAAAATTAATCTATGCTATTGGAAGTCAGCATAGTGGTTACCCCCGGGGGACTTGGGTGAGTTCCATGCCTTGTTCTGGGTGCTGGTAACATAGATGAATTTAATTTGTTGAAAACTCTTCTAATTTTACATATGTGTACATTTTTCTTATGTATGTAACACTTTAATAAAAAGTTAAAAAGAAAGAAACACATACCAAAGAAAAACCATCGAAGATCTTAAGATCTTAAAATGAGCCAGAGGAGAAAAGTCAGCAGGCACAATAATGACCTCTACAAATTGTCCATACCCTAATCCTCAGAACCTGTGAATGTGCCATTACCCAGCAGAGGGGAATTAAGGCTGATAATTATCTGATTTTAGACAGACTATCCTGGGTAATCCAGTGGGGCCCAATATAATCACAAGGGTCCTGAAAACTGGAGGTGGAGGCAGAGTCAGTGTCAGAGCGATGTGAAATGAGAAAGACTCGGCCACCCACTGCTGGCTTCGAATCCGGAAGGGACCATGAGCCAAGGAAGCCGGAAAAGGCAAGGAAAGGGACTCCCCTCCAAGGTAATACAGCCCTGCCAACACCCCAATTCAGCCCAGTGATACCCATTTCACTCTTCTAACCTCCAAGACATAAGAAAACATGTGTGTTGTTTTAAGCCACTGAGTTGGTGGCTGGCCAGGGCTGGGCTCGTGACCCCTACAAAGCCACCCGGCCAGAGGCTATGAGCTTGTCAGCGGGAAAGGACCCATGCAGCAGCAACAGGGTCAGTGGGTTAGTTCTGTGTTTTAAGAATGGGTAGAAACCAAACCTGTCTTTCTCTCTTGACTCTGTTTCTTTCTCGAGAGCCCGGACGACGTCTTCCAGTTGCAGAAGTTTGGTTTTCATGTCATTCTTTTCTTTCTCCAGTGCTGCATCGGCCTCCATCTCCCCCGGGACGGCAAGCTGGGGTTGGGATGGTGAGGACCCTCTCCTGGAACCCTCGTCCTCGGCCTGCTCCTGCGAGGCATGTCTCTGGCTCCCCACAGAGGCCAGCACCCTACTCCGGCTCCCAGCTCGCTCCTCTAGAACAGCCTGTGGCCTCTCGGCCTGCCCACTCCCCGAAGAGGCTGGGCTTAGCCATGGCCCCCACCTCTGGGATGGAGCTGGCCGGGCATCTCCCTCTGGGGCTTCAGGCTGGCTCAGGTCCGCTGGACCCCTGGCAGAAGGCACTGGTTCCCCTGGGACGGCCCCTCTGTCCACCCCATGTGGCTGCACATGTGACCATCTCTCTGGGGGAACAGAAGCCCCCTCCTCAGTGTTGAGCAAACCCCAACAGTTCTCTCTGAGGCCGAGGCTCTCCGAGGGCCCACTGGCCACCAGGGCAGGGGCTGAGGCTGAGCTCTGCATGCCATCTACACAGCAGAGCTGGCCTGGCACATCCCTGCACCCAGCTTGCGCACGGCCAGGCCCGCCTCCTGCCGGCTCCCCCATCTCTCCACCATCGCCGGGTTCCAGCTGGGCTGGAGGCTGTTCCCCACTGCCTGGACCTGGGGGCATGGGGCCATGTGCGCTCTCCTGCTGGCTCCTTGCCACCGGTGGCCCACCTTTCCAAAGAGCCCGCAGTGCCTCCACTTCCTGGGCAAGCTCTTCCACCTGCTTCCTGTAGGCAAGTTCTAATCTCTCCTTCTCAAGGGCGAATGATTTGCAAATCTGCGCCTGCTCTTCACTCATCAACTCCTGCAGCTTCAGCTGCTGCTTTCGACAGCGCCTGAGGATCTCCTCCTCCCTCTTTGCCTGCTGCTGCTTCTCCTTGTCGAGCTGCTCCGCCATCTCGCTCGCCTGCAGCAGGTGCTTCTGCAGCAGCTCATCCTTCTCGCGCTGATGCTGCAGGGACAGGTCCTCACAGTGGGCGGCATGCTGGGCTTCCATCCACGACAGCTTCTGGCTCAGCTCGCCCTCAGCCTCTCTCCTGCGGAAACAGTGAGCATCGCACACTGCAGGCGCTGCTAGCTCTCAGCCCCAGACCCTTCTCTCAAGTTAGAAAAGGCCACCGAGCTTTTGTTGTAACCACCTGTGTCCCCTCTCCTCAGCTAGCTTTTGTTATTCCTCCTCACCTCCCATGTGCCCTGGGCTCCAAGCCACACCCAACCCTCCTTAGAGAGTCTAGCAGAGGATCTGCCCCCAACGGGGTGAAGTTCTGCACATGGAAGCCAATGCGGAAGCCACTCGCCATACGGGAGTATTTACATGTACAATTAAATAGAACTGAAGTCCAGGCCCTCAGTCACACTAGCCCCAGTTCGAGTCCTAGTAGCTGTGTGCAGCTGGTGGCTGCCGAACCGTATAGAGGAGACGCGGGATGTGGCTCCCGCGACAGTGAGTTCTACAGGAGAGTGTTGGTGCCAAGACTTGGTGAGATGGACAAAAAGCACAGTCAGAACTGCCCCTGAAAATCCCTTAAGCTGCTGGGCCCGGGGTCTCCAGTCCAGTGGAAGCGAGGTGAGGCTGGGCAGAGCACTAAGCCTGGAAGGGCTGCTGCCCGCTCCTGGCCCGTGCAGGCACAGCAAGTGAAATGGGTCCACACGGCTCCACCTCCATGTGGAGCGACCATGAGCCCGGCTGAGCAGCAAGAGCAGCTCCCCAGGAGCGAGGGGCCAGAGTCCTCCAAGGCCTGTATGGCTCAGGGTGGGCAGCTAGGCGCATGCTCGCCTGGGAGCCACTCCCTACCCATCCCTCTGTCCCCGGTGGGGAGTGGGGGGCTCTGATCGTGTCCCTTATCACACATTCTTGGGTTTAAGAGAAACCAACTGATAGCTCAGGGAAGCACATGAGTGACAAATGACTTTTTATCTATCCTCCAGGACAGCAGCAGGTTCCCCAAGCCCTGGATGGGCCTGGGGCCACCCTACAGGGTCATCCTGGAGGGGAGGGAAGAGGGAGTGCTGATTCCTCCTCATCACGTCCCAAGTCCTCAGGCCGCCCCGACCCCTACCAAAAAGGGAAGTGCCCACCTCCTCCAGGTTCGGGGACACGACCTCCTGCTATCAGCATGGTGACAGGGGCCACATCCACTCAGCCCCAACACCTGAATCCGACCAAACCCGAAGCAACACCCCTCTGCAGCGGCTGCACAGGTACGCAGCAGACCTATTTGGCCCCAGCTGTCTGCTCTGCTGCGGCCAGGCGAGGCCTTGGTCCAGCCGTGGGCTGGGGGTGGCCTGGCCCGTATGGTGGAAGGGGGCCTTCGTTGAGCCGAGGGGTCCAATGCTCTCCACAGGACAGTGGGTCCCAGCTGATCATCAGTGAGTCCACAGTAACTTACTCTCCTCAGTCAGACTGGAGAGACGAGAACAGGCACATGATCCTTTCTCACGTACCTCTGACACTAGAATGCACAAAATACCAACTCAGGTTTTCTAAAAAAACCTTTCCTCTCCAGGAGGGCTGCTTGAACCCAGGAGTTTGAGGTTGCAGTGAGCTATGATGATGCCACTGCACTCTAGCCTGGTTGACAGACAAAGACCCTGTTTCGAAAAAAAAAAAAAAATCTTTCCTTCATTTGCACATTTTAGCCTTTTCAAGAATCTTACCAACCCAAACTGATCATCTTTCTCATTGTTTTTGGGCTTTGGAGCTTTTCTCCATCTCCCTGTGTGCTACAGCCCCTCACCGTGGAAAATGAGAATGTGATGTTAAATGATGGAGAATACGTTGCCCTTTGCTACCAGGCACATCTAAGGCAGAAGGGAAATGGCACTGATAAATTTCTACACGGCAAATGGCTTCATGGCCCAAGCTCTAGTGAATCTATATTTTTAAAGTAAAATCTTTATACCAGGACCTGTTCTTTCAGCACTCACCCACCTGCCCAGAGGAGAATCACCCAGTTTGCATGCACTGCAATTCTCAGCAGTTTATCTAAATCTAATTTCAAATTTTGGTCCTGGCCAAGAACCCCCAGACCTGAAACACTGACAGAAGCTGGGCCAGACCTGATCTGCTGCAGCTGGCTCCGATGCCTCAGGTGCAGCTCCTCCTCCAGCCGCAGGGCCAGGCTGGAGAGCGCCTGGGTGCAGCACGGCGCCAGCGCCAGGCCCAGCTGCTCAGGCGCCGGGCCGTGGGCCAAGTCCTGCAGCTGCTCCCGCAGGCCCTGGATGACCTCCTGAGACTTGGCGTGGAGCACCTCCAGGTCTGCTTTCTGCTCCTCCAGCACGCCGACCTCGTGCTTGTGAGCCTGCTCCATCTCCTTTCTCTCCTTCTCAAAGTCCCTTTTCATTACCTCGATTTCCCTCTCGTAGTAATTTACCTAAAAAGAGAAACATGAACAAGGCCCTAAAAATGGCCTTGCTGACAACCCAACACAAAAACACGGAGCTGTCAGGCACAACATCCAAAGAGCCGATGGCCCAGACCTGAGGAGGTGTCAGGGTCTGTGGAAGGGACCAGTAACGTTCCCTGAGGGTCCCATGTGGCTGTGCATTACGTTATCCCCTGTGAGGCAGGTCTAGCAGATGGAACAGGTGGCTCGGGTCCAAGCTGAGTTTGGCACATGGCCAGGCAGTGCGCAGGGTGCAGAGCGTGTGACAACTCCTGAGAGAACTGGGGAGCCTTCGCAAGGCCAGTGGGGTGCTTGTGAACACCCTGCAGGCCCCCTAAGGAAAGAACACTATCTGGCCATGGGTGGGCAAGGGTACATGGGGAGCTTCCAATTAATCCATGCAGGGAGCCCAAGGGCACAACCACAGGACAGAGGTGGCCCGCCTTGCTTCGCAGGTTGAAGAACTGGACACAAGACAAGATGTGGATACTGTCCCTTAAATGCCTCTACAACCTAGAAAACACATCAGGAATAAGTTCATCCAAGAGAACAGCCTCAGCCAGGATGGACCTGGCCACGAAGGCACCGAGTCCCCTGTAAAGGGCAAATGCCAGGTCACTGAGACTTGGAGCACAGCCAGTGTGATTCCCAGCTGCAGAGGAGCAGGGAGGGCTGGCACAGCACGGCTGCCCTCGGGCATCCCCATGACACTCCGGAGTGTGACACCATTCCCTCCCCACTGTTAGTCACTCCCGTGTCCTGTCTCCTTCCAAAGAGGGTTTGGGGCAGAACACCAGTTTTACTTATGCTTCCCTACAAACGCCCCTCCTGGCGCCGGCTCACTATGAGGCAGAGAATTCTAGGGCAGATGCAGAGCTGCCCCCGCACCTTGGTCTCCAGCTGGATCCTGAGGTCTCGGTGATGTTCCTTCAGCTGCTCCATCATTATCTCCGTTTCTATACTCACTGGAGCAGAACTGCCTGTGAGCAAGATGCCTGCAAATGAGGACATTTCCATTTGTGTCATGCCGAGGACGCCACAGGGCCCCTCCCAAACACTCCAAAGACACTTGTACCCCATCAGGGAGAGGCACAGGGTGCTGGCCGTAAGGGTTGTATTCATTCTAAAAGTTGGTGCTCCTTAGAAATCAGCATTTCAGTTCTTGGTCAGAACGCAGGACACTCAGATACAGGTAGGAGACTCCCCGCAAGATCCATCAGGGCCCTTTCATTCCCTAAAAGACAGCGGTACCATGGTACATTTGCCACACCCTAAGCCCTGTTCTCTGACGATGCCAGGTACACAGAGGAATGGGAATACAGAAGACAGAGGGACCTGCCACACTCACAGCAACGTGCAGGCTATCATAGGTGCACGCACGGAGCTTATCCATCCATCCTGTGCGTTTAGCTTCCCCCTTTTCTTGGTGGCCCTACATTGTTTACTATTACATCACGCAAATAATGCTGGGCTCCAATTGATAAGGTCAGTACACTAAACCCTGGGGCATAAAACAGCAACTCAAAATACTAAAACACAAAAACAACCCTCAGTGAAATAAAGACTCTGCCGCTGACAGGAAGGGAGATGGGAAGGCAGGCGACATACAGGTGGGTCCTGTGATGAGGCCTCGGACCCACACACGCCATCTGGGTGGGAGCAGGAGGCTCCTGACGTGTGTGTTGGAGGGACCCACCGCTAGGGTTTCATCTGGGTTGGTCCAGGGGCCAGAAAAGTGGGGAAAAGACACATTTTCCAACTCTCACCCTCTCCTTCCATTTCCCAAATTATTTTCCATGAAAAAAAAGTGACAGACTCAGGGATGTGGGGGCCAAAAAAACTCAAGACAAGCACCTCAGGACAGAAAGCATCTCATGGCCTTGTCCACCTGCAGCTGCCACCACCTGGGCCCAGCAGCAGCTCTAGCTGGATGCTTGTCACAGCTCAGGCCACATCTCCCCTCCACTATGATGCTGCATCCTACCCGCGCCCCACCCCCCGGCTGGCAGCAGACAGACCCCTCCTTCTCTTAAGGAGTCAATCAAACCTCTTTGGTCACACTGAGGATGCCAAAGGCAGGAAGAGAAAAGGCCCCACACGGGTGGCACTGGTTTTATCAGCAATGCCACGAAGCTCAGGGCTGCCTCCCACAGCCCAAGTTCGACTTGACAAGAGCAACCTCGGACACAGAACCTCAGCTTGGCCAGTTCCTGACAGATCCACACACAGCTCGGGCTCCTTGAGGGACAAAGGGAGGTACAGTTACCCCCTCCCCTGTAGTCCAGCTGTGCTCCTAGCCACATGTCACACCTGCGGGGATTTGAAAACGGCCCCAAGTGTCGCTGTACCCTACCCCAATAGCTTCTGGCCTCTCTGGCCTGGGGTGTGGCCGGGATGTCTTGTTCCTTCCTGAAGCTTCCCATGAGCCTGGTCGGGGCTGTGGGTCTAGGGTGCCTCTGACTCCGAAGGAGCCTGCTGGTGAGGGGCTACTTTAGGGCTCCTAGGAAGTCAGACCCACATGCACAGAAATCCCCACTAGGTTCCCCCAGGAGGTTCCCAGATTGATGGATTTGGGTACATCTTTTTTCTATTTTATTAAGTAAACAGCTCTCAGGGTTATGGATGGGAGCAAAATGTTCTAAGGGGCTGAGGTTGCCATGACGTGGGATCCTGGGGAGCAGGTGGGGCTGTGAGCCCTACGGGCCCCCGCTGCAGCAGCACTGAGCTCCGAGCCAGGTGCATCGTGTGCTGCTGCTCAGGTAAGCAGAGGCCGTGCACCTGCCAGGAAGGGCAGCAACCAGCCAAGCCCACCCAGTCCTCCAAAAGAACTGCAGCAAACCTCAAGGGCAGCCATAGCATCTGGATCCCTATCATGGTCTGCAGAAGGAGCCAAGAACTTTAAGAGCTCTTCTTGTTCAGTGTGTCCTCACCCCATCAGCTGAGAATGTGAGAGCATATGGCCAGGCAGGGGCCCTTCCCTCGGTGCCCGGCCCCCTACCCACCTTGCCCGGACCCCAAGGGCAACGGCTCCCACATCTCCCAGGAGCAGCAAAGGGCAAACCCTGCCAGCCTCGGTCCACACAGGCCTGTGAGTACCGGGCCTGAACACATTCGAGTAAGTTAGCTCCTCTCCTATACAAAGAGCTATCACCAAAACCAGCTCTCAGATGTAAGAACAGCATGGGCCAGGCCATGGCTGCACCTTGGGGCTGGAGACCACCCATGCACACCTTGGCCTTGCCCTTCCTTCCCCTCCGGGTGAGTATCCTGCTGCAAGGCCACCCGGTGCCATCTCAATGGACCTTCCTCAGCAACATCCCTACAGGGCAGACCTCCACTCCAAAGGTCAAGACAAACAAGGTCACCATCTCCCTTTAATCTTTCTACCCAAATGGTAAAGCCCTTCCCTCCCCTCTCCCATCTCTTGTGTGAGGGGTGAACCCCAGGCCTTGCAGCCAGCCCCCACCCAGGCCAGGCTCCTACCTGCCGGACCCTGTCCAGACAGCCGCTGTCCCAGGCCCCTGGAGGAGTTCTGTCGACTGGGGGCCAGCCGTGCCCGCAGGCCTTCCAGCTCAGCCTGCAGCTCGTCATTGCGGTCCTGCAGGTCCTGTGGGGACAGAGCCAGATACCTCCTCCAGCTGCTGCAGCCACTAGGCCCAGGGAACCTGGAGTGTCCGCGGCAGGCCAGGCATGCTGCAAGGTGAGAGGGCATCAGTTCTGGACTTGCAGCACAAGATATTTAATCAGGGTTTCGAGTCCCTGATTACATGGGGGGCTGAGCAAAAACAAGAGTCCTCTCCTGACTTTCTCATGCCCCACATCATTTCTGTCACTGGATATATACGGGAGAGGCTCAAAGAAAAGAGTCGAGAGGATACTGAAGAGAAGTATAGAAAACACAGAGAATCATCAACATCTGAAATTACAAGTGCTTTGTTTAAACCACAGAGGTGCTGTGGCGCACGTGTCAGGCAACAAGATCCTGGGATGTGCTGGGATTCTTTCCTCAGTAGGTGCTGAATTTGCAAAGGGTTCTGCAGTGATGAACCACCAAAGAGGACACCATTTGCTCCAGATCAAGTGCACAAAGCAGAGATGGACGTGTCAGAGGGACAATGGTTGCTGAGCCGACACCTGAGGGAGCAGAGGAGCACTGGCGACAGTGGGGCAGGAGACACCATCAGGGGTGGAAGTGTAAGAGGAAGGAGTCTGCATTTGTGGCTAACAATTTTATTTATACTTCTAATGAGCTATGATAGTCCTCCCTCTCTGACATAACAAGCAAGCCCAGTCACTTGCTTTTTAAGGAGATAAGAAGGGGTAGAGCTGGGAGGCCAAGGCAGGCGGATTGATTGAGCTCAGGAGTTCGAAACCAGCCTGAGCAAGAGCGAGACCCCGTCTCTACTAAAAATAGAAAGAAATTAATTGGACAACTAAAAATATATAGAAAAAATTAGCCGGGCATGGTGGTGCATGCCTGGAGTCCCAGCTACTCGGGAGGCTGAGGCAGGAGGACCGCTTGAGCCCAGGAGTTTGAGGTTGCTGTGAGCTAGGCTGACGCCACGGCACTCACTCTAGCGAGGGCAACAAAGTGAGACTCTGTCTCAAAAAAAAAAAAAAAAAAAAGAAGGGGTAGAGCATCTAGCCCACAGTTCCCTGAGTCCTGCAGCCTTTCGAAAAGCATGGCAACACAGACTACACTCTGTGCATGTTGCCATGTTCACTCAAGACCCCGGGCCTGGGTACCCCCACCCGAACCCAGGCAGCCTTGTGACTGCTCTGACCTAGAGGACAGTAGAAGTCAGGCCATGTGATCTCCAAGGACACAGCTTCTGCCTGGCTTCTCCTGAGATGGATGCCCTGGGGGATGCCACTGCCATGCTGGGAGGAAGCCCCAACTAGCTCTGAGGAGGCCACGTGGGGAGGACCACATGGAGGCCCATGTGGAGAGGCAGGGAGACTCCCAGTCCACACAGCACACCCATGAGGCACCACCTATCTCCCTCTCTGTTTTCTGAATCCTATTCAAGTTTCCTTATAGCCTCTCCAGGTACCTCTCATTGAATAAACTAATCTTCCTGAAACTGTCCCTGGAAGCCAGTCCCTGGGCCTGCCAAATGCATCATCGAGTTTCCCCTTGGAGAAGGAGCCTCTCCTTGGCAATTCTGAGCCATGTGGGAGAAGCGACAGGCTCTGAAGATATTGGAAGCAGCACAGATTCATGGAGAGTCACTTGTACCTCATTTACAAACTCCTGTGTAAATACACGGTTCCCCCATGGAGGGAGCAGCCCTGTCCTGGGAAAAGGGCCGGGCCAGGGAGTCAGAGCCTGCCAGGCAGACCCTGGAGCATGCACCCCTTGGCTGCTGGCCTGCCCTGCCCACAGTGTCGTGGCAGCCCCATCCATCGTTCACCCAGCCGCACGCTGTCCACACAGGAGCCGCTAGCCACGTGAGCTGCTGAGCTGCTGAAGCGTGCTTAGTCTCAACAGAGATGTGCCAGAAGCACAATATGCCACATTTCAAAGACTTACTCCAAAATTGGGATGTAAAATACCTGAATAATTTGTTTATATTGATTATGATTGAAATGATCACATTTTTGATATGTTAAAGAAAATACATTACTAAAATTAATGTCACCTATTTCTTCTTTTTAAAACTAAACCTACTAATAAATGAATCTTCTTCCATTTTTTAACATGTCTACTAGAAAACTTAAAAGTTACATGTGTGACTCCCATTGTGTTTTTATTGGCCAGTGCCAATCTAGGAGTAACACGGACAGAATCATTTCTATCCAATGTCCTGCCCCCTTTGTGGTTCTTTCTGCCACTCCAAATGGGTATTTTGAGAGCACGGACACATCCTGCAAATTTAGCAGTGCCGGGAACAGGGGTTCTCCCAGCTGACATGAGGGGCACAGGCTTCTCTGTTCTCAGAGAAGGGAGCATGTCAGGGAGCACAGTCAGTTATGGCTGGAGAGGCTGGTGTGTGCTGTCCTGGGAACCAGCAGCCTCCAAGGGGCAGCTGGAGGGGGTGTGGGTCACGGCACCTGTCTATTTTCATGTGGAAGGTGGTTAAGGGGCACTACCATGCCAGCCAGGAAAAGAGACCTGTGACAAGCCCAGCAACCATATACTGTAGCCCTGAAGAGTTGAGGGCTCTGGCCCCATTGTGGCTTTCCTTGCCTTCTTGTTAGTGGGGAGAAGCAAGAACACAAGGGAAGAAGCAGGGTGGGATGGGGATTCCCACAGCAGCAGGGGAAGGCATCTCTGGGAGGCATCGAGCTGAAGGTGGTATCCTGCGGGCTGGCTGGGGGGTAAGCCAGGCTGACCAAACACACACTTAGGGGGATGAAGAACTGCCCAGAAAATTGGAAATGTGGGTATCTGTTAGGCATTGATGTGGAAAAGCAGAAGGGAGAATCACACTTGGGGTTTTGACCAAGGGCATCAGTGCTGCTACATTGTGGTGTCCACACGAAGAAACAGTAAAAACACAGAACCACAGAGAATCTCTAAGGAGAATCTGGTTAACATTTCAGAGTCCCCTTCAGCAAGGGCAGCCTTGCCAAGAAAACTGAGACTGACAGTTGGATGAAAGAGAAAAAGCAAAAATGATAGTTATATCAGAAGGGGATTCTCCAACAACGAAAAGCACGGTTTGTGGCTAACAAATATCCTTATAACAAAGGACAAGGAAACCCCAAGCAGTCAGTCTGGAAAGATCAGGCAGTACACAGCGGGGAAGGCCGAGGACTAGCTCTCTGGCATCTGGGGACAGAAGACAAGGTACACTCAGCCAAAAAGCAGTGACCCTCCCAGGAGCAAGGGGCACACCAGGCACACAGATCTAGGTCTCCACAACCATTACGCTGTGAAAGGAACCAAGACTCCTTGGGGAAAGGGCAGATCCCAGAGCAAGTACAGGCAAAGCACAACATGAGTCCGGAGCATCTGCTGTGCCAGGAAGTATGGACTATTCAAAAGAACCAAGCAACAGCAAAAAACAACAGTGCTATGTCACAGGGACACAACAGACAGCTGAAGACTCCCATGGGCCAAATCTTGCACAACTCAACACCAAAGTAATTAAGTACAGTAATGAATTATAACCCACTGGGGAAAACGGGAATTCAGAGTCCATACCAATGAATGGTAGGTGGGTAGGTAGACAGGACTTCTCCAGCTAACAGAAGAATGCCAATGATAAGGACAGATGGGAAGGGGTGCTGAAGTAGGAAAACCATCATTTTGTAAAAAATCATAGTAAACACTGAGTTAGGTAAGAATCAATGGATGCTAAATTCAGGGAAGATCTTGATGAAGAGCAGGATATTCACATGGTCTTAAAGTGTCTCCCCACTAACTGCTTATTAATTGGAAGGGAGGAAAAAAAACCCCAGTAATTTTACAGTGGGGAAATCAGGCAACACCTTGACCAGGTGCTCAGAATCAACACCACCAAGGAGGGACCGATGGTCACAGCATTGCCTCTGTGGGGTGCCAGCTGAGAATGCACAGCCTCAATCTAATCAAAGGAAACATCAGAAAGACAAACAATGAGAATGTTTCTATGAAAAGCAGGGAGGGAAAACAGTGTTCTTCAAAAATATCAGTGTCCTAAAAGACAAAGAAAGGCTGAGAAAATGTTTTGGAGTAAAGGACATTAAAGAAACAAGACAACTAAAGGCAATAGCTAGTCCTAGACCACAGCCTGTCCTGGAGAGGAAAATGCTCCGAAGAACATCAGTGGATTCGCTAAGGAAAATGAAACAGGGACAGCAAGTTAAAGTGCTGTACTGATGTAAACTCACAAAGCCAGTTAAGTGAGCCACAGTTATGTTAGAGAATATTCTTACTCAGTAAGGTGTTGGGAAACTTGCTCTCCAGGAAAAACAAAAAGCCCTAGTTTGTGGCTTTTGCAAATTTCTGTGGTATAAATTATTCCCACTGAGTCAATTTAAAAAACTATCAAAGGTTTAACAAGCAGCTAGCAAAATTTCTGAACATTTACTAATCGCCTACAGGAGGAGGAACATGCACAGCACTGCCAGGTAAACTGGACTAAGCCCATTCTTAGGAAATGCACACTCAGGCATAGAGGGTAACGGGTCGTGATGTATGTACGTTACCCTGAGATGGTTCAGAAATAATTATGTACATACAATCACTTCCATACAAGCACACACAGAGTGTGCAAGTATGCAAATGGCAACTGGGGTGAAGAGTGTACAGGTGTTTCTTGCACTGTTTTTATGTTTGTAACTTCATGTAATTTTAAAATTATGTTCAAATAAAAAGTTTTCTGAATACCCTAAATGTTAGTTAAAAACAGATAAAAATATCCAAAACATGGAGAAAGGAAATCTCTAAATAGGTTAGCACTAAAATATAAAATATCTCTGCTGATGTTTCAAATATAAAATTTCAAGAACCAAAAGTGAAAAGAGTAACAGATCTTTAAGTAACAGAGTCATATTAAAGAAAGAAGGGATTTATATTTATTTTGAAACTCCAGTGCCCTAAAGGAACATTTTCATGGAGGGATATCTCTGGATTGTGTCTGCTCACCATGCTTCAGAGGAAGGAGAAGCTCAGCACGGAACTGCAGTCCCCACGGAACGCTGTCAGGACCCTCCACCTGCATAACGGGCCCCTCCCCACTCCACACACCAGGCAAGTCAGGAGGTGACACAGCTCACCACACACAAGACTCTCAAAAGGAGAATCACACAGTGCAGGAAAAGACAACGGGGCATCCAGGATTTGGGCTGGACTCAGAGGGCAAACCACAGACAGGATGTATGGCCCACTCAGAGCAGAAGCCAGGGCTCACCTTGATCCTCTAGGGTGGCCAGAGCAGCGTGCAGCACGAACAAAGTCAATTTACGTTAAATTGGAGGGAAGTCATCAAGAAGTGAATCGATGACAGATCCTTAAAATCAAACAATGTTTTATCTCCTTCTCTGGCTGTAAGGCAGCTCAGGAATTAATCACCAGCTTTGAGGACAGATGTTCTCCCCCAAATATCTGGTCCACTTTCAAATTACATAAAATTATTTTATAACTATTGGTGCTTTAACAATGACCACAGGCCAAGCACAGTGGCTCACACCAGTAATCCTAGCACTCTGGGAGACCGAGATGGGAGGATAGCTTGAGGTCAGGATCTTGCGACCAGCCTGAGCAAGAGTAAGACCTTGTCTCTACTAAAAATAGAAAAATTAGTCTCTACCAAAAAAAAATAAAATAGAAAAATTAGCCGGGCATCATGGCTCACAGCTGTAGTCCCAGCTACTCAGGAGGCTGAGGCAAGAAGATCGCTTGAGCCCAGGAGTTTGAGGTTGCAGTGACCTATGAAGACACCACTGCACTCTATCCTGGGCAATAGAGCGAGACTCTGCCTCAAAAAAAAAAAAAAAAAAAAAAACCTGACCATAACGGTATCTTTAGAAATAATGACAGATTTTCAGCATGAGGTGACTTGGAGCAAAGGCAACTGGCACATGGAAAGAATCAGATATAACTAAAACCAGAGGTGCTGCTCTATCACCACACAATGTAACTAAAGATTACTGACCTGGTAAAATTAAGTCAGTTTCAGACAATAACATCTGCGGATAGCTATAAATTATGGCTGCCCAACTTGAAAATTTGTAATATAATTATCTACTATTAAAGCAAATACAGAGGATAAATAAATGAGTGAACAATAACCTACTCATATCCTTAGATTTTTCTCATTTTTGCTGGTGGGGATTATATAGGGTTTTAACTGCCTGTAATCTGAGGATGCCCATTACTTACCATCGTTCACTTGGCAATGTTGCCTAGACAGAATCCCATGTCTAGAATCATCCACTTCCATGTTATCTTCAAGGCTACATGGGATTCTTTTAGAACAAGAGTCATAATATGCCTTGCCATCCCCGACACTTGGTTGTTTCCAGTTTCCATTGTTGAGTCTTATTTGGACATAACTTTTCTTTATGCCAAGGATGTGAGAGGGGCAGGTGGGTCAGAGGCTGAGGTTTTTGATGGTGCCTGATTTTAGCCACGCATACACCTCTCTTTATAAAACAGAAGTTTCTGTACAAGTTTTGCATAAATTAACTTTTAGTAAATTAAATCCTAACCAGGAGGTGACTACTAAGGAACCATGTGGTGATTACTTTAAAAATCAAAGAATGGTTCTGTATTGTCAATAATCAACCCAATTCAACTCTTGGCTTCTTTTTTTCTATACTTTCTTCAAGAGGATTGATCCTGTGGGCCAGAGCAGGGCAGGTGAGACAAGGAAAGGGAGATGGATGCCCAGCCATCAGCCTGCCTATACGGCGGCCTTCAAGGCACTAAAACTGGGCTTTATTTGCAGTCTAGGAAACGCCTGACCTTTAGAACATTCTAGTCTCAGTGTGCTCAGGGGCTCAGGGAAGGGAAGGAAAGGAGATGCCAGAATGGCCTGGAATGCAGCAGCCTGCATTTAAAATGTGCCAAGGAGGCAGTGGTCCAACCCCAGGCTCTACACGAGCCTGAATGATCCATCACTCAGCATCTGTGTCCTAGAAGCCGATTCAGAGGAACAGGAGGGTCTGTAGACCTGCAAGGCCACCAGGGTGGGTGTCCAGGCCTCCCACTAGCCTGGCTGTGGCCCCCAGGGAGGGATTCAGGACACAAGGAGGTTTGAGTTGCCTTCCTCATGCCCAGTCTCTTTTGGCACAGTGGCGCTTCTAGGGGCCCCGTGTCCTGTGATATCACAAGACACTGACACAGAAGTAGACAGAAGAATGCAGCTGTCTGCCATAAGGCCAGCCATTAAAGAGATTAGCAATACAATGGTATACTTCTGAACTAATTTTTCTTTCTTTTGGAAAATAGCCATTTTCACAAAAACATGCTATTTATGTTAGCCTGTTACTACGTTATTATTCTTAAATGAATTCATCCATTTTTCAATTTCCGCTTTAATTTTTACATGGTAAATACTAAATATAAGCCACATAACATACATCAACAAAAGCTCTTTGGAATCCTTGATAATTTTGAGAGTGTACAGGGGTCGTGAGGTCTCAAGTTTGCTCGCCACTTCTGCCCGCTCTCCACCCAGATGTCTCCAACTGAATGGGATGGATATGCATTGTCAGATTTGGCCCAGGAAATCTAAACGTTAGCCTGAGAAAACAAGACAAAGCCCTACATGGTACCTAGAAACATGGAGGCGGCATTCAGAACAGGAGCCAAGCAAAGCCAGGGAACCCTCAGCCTAGGGCGCTTGGCCAGGCCGTGGCCAAACACAGCCACAGTCAGAGCTCCACCTGGAGGAGACACTCTGGCATCCCCTATGGACCACACTGCACGTGGATACTCAGAGTCTGGACATAGGACTACAAGGAGGGCTGGGCAGGGCACGTACCCGGCACTTAACCTCATATTCCTTCAGGACCGCCGTGAACCGCTCCTCCTGGGCCAGGAGCTCTGTGCTCTGCGGCTCCAGCTGAAAGTCAGACACACAGGAGGTGATGGGCCGGCCTCAGGCCAGCAGAACTGCTCCTCCCGCCCCTGGGCTCTGAGAATCTGACTGGCTTCTCCTGCACCAGGCTCTACATCTCCAGGTACAACCGCTCTGTCCCTCCTCCTCCTCCTCCTCCTCCCCCTTCCTTTCCCTATCTAAAAGGTCTCAGGGCAGAAGGATTTTCTGGATTTATTCATTTATTGAAGATGGTCATGCTCACACCTGGAGCCAGGACCGTGCCCTGGGCAGCCCCCTCCACCCCCTCCTCCTCCCAAGGCGATCTGAGGGCCAGGTAGGGGCCTCGAGGTGGCACAGAGCTCTACCCTCCCTGTGTACCCATCACTGAGGCCTGTGCAGATGGCGCTAGCCCTGGCCGGGCAACAGCAGCCCCTGTGCTGCCATGAAGAGGAGCAGAGCAGATGGAAGTCCCCATACTAATTTTCTCTCCATTCTAAATTTTAGTAGAAAAATACTACATTCAGTCACCTAGGTCGTCTTTCTTAAGGTGCCACCTACTTTTTACCCAGTGCCCACAGGCTCTCCTCTCTGAAGACTCACAATCTGCAAAAGGACTTGCCTTGTCCTTCAACACCAACTCCAGGTCGTTCTGCAGTTTCAGGACCAGCTTCTCTGAATCCAAGAGCTTCTCCACCACTTCCACGATCTCCTTCTGTAAGCGACTGTTTTCCTATAGGGAGACAGCCCATAGTTCATCAGGCTCAGGACGCGCCGGAAGAGGATGTGGGCAGGACTGCTGTAACTTCTCTATAAGTGAGAGGCTTCTTCACCAACAGCACTGGTGATCAGCACTGGTGAAGAAACCCCTCGAAAGACGAAGCACCTGGGTGCTGGCTGCCTCCGTGCTGTGCTGTGAGCTATGGCGGCAGAGGGTGAGCACCTCACTGGAGGCAAAGGGGTGGGTGCAGGTGATGGGACACTCACCAAAGCCCACAAAACCTCTCTGCTTCAGGCCACAAACCGAGGCCTTTGGCAGGCTGGGCTTTAGTTCTGGTATTTTTGCTGACCCAGGGGTACACCTGGTCTCAGGGGGTGCAGCAGTGCCAGCTGCGATCACTGGCTCCCCCTCACCTCAGGTCCATCTGACCCAGAGCAGAGAGCAGGAGTGAGGGGAAGGGGGAAGGGGCAACACCATTACGAGCACAGCCAAGACCCTTCTGCTCTGCTGAGAAGCGGACCCCTCCCTACAGTGAAAACGTTCCTTAGTTTAAGTCCCAGGAGTTTCCCGACCCTGACAGGTAAGCTTAAAGCCACCAACAGGTGTGGGGCCTTGACCAGGAAGATACGGGTGTGACTGGATGGACACTCAGGCTTCCCCCTACCTTCAGGGCCAGGGTCAGCTTCTCTCGGAGGCTGGCCTCCTCGGCCTGCAGGCGCCCCACGTCCCGCTCGAGCGCAGCCCTCTGCCTACGGGCCTGCTCCCAGAACAGCTCCCGCTCCGTCTCCACTTCGGACCGGAGGAGGTTCAGCCTTCCTCTGTACCCCTGCTCCAGGTGCCTGTAACATGTCATATACACATCACTTCAGGGTTCCCCCAAGCTGCCCAGGCCCACCCCCAGGGCCCTTAGCACATGCCAGGCCTCCTTGCCTCTTGCCTCTGTTGAACTGCCCTTGCTGAAAAGCAGGCCTGGGGGTGGGTGCGTGTCCTTCATGGGCTGGTGGAGGTGACCCCAGAAAAGGGGAACTAGTGGGTCACCTAGTGAATGTCAGCAGCTGCACCTCTGGAGCTCTCAGGTGAATGAACAAGCAGAGCTGTCTGGGGAGGGTCCCACGGCCACCCTCTGCCTCTCCACCCACTGTGCACTGTGGGCAGCAGCCCTTTGATACCAAACATGTGTAAAAGTGGACTCCCTTCCCAGGAAAGAAGCAGCATAAAACCCATGGACACTGAATTCCCAAAGCGATCTAAGGAAGAGGTGGGAGGCAATTTTTTCTCAGATGTCCCATTCATCTTTTGCAATAATCATTTCCATCATCAGGAAAACAGTATCAGCTCTTACTTAGTCTTGTCACTAAAACAGCCACTTCTCAGGACTTCTCCAACAAGTCTACCTAGACTGGAGAAAAGCAAGGCTCCAACTTCAGCAGAAACCTGGCAACGTCAGTAACTGGGCACAAGACCTGGGCTCACCCTTCGGCCCACAGAGCCTGGACTTTTCATCTCGGCTGAGAACTTTATAAATAAACAGTATCCAAAGGGGAAGATGTAGGAAGTGCAATACAATAGATCTGACTAATTTAACACTCTACAGACCTTTGGAGTAGCTTTAAAAACACATATTTGATCTTATCAGCCCACGTTTTAAAAACTGTCGAAATAGACAACGAAAGGGAAATGGTCAAGTAAAATACGGCAGACCCACAAGGAGACCCACGCAGTGGGATGCTCTGTGGCCATCAGAAAAGTACACATGATATGCTGTCATTTCGTAAACCATTATGTACACAGAAAAAAGTGAAGGACATAAAAAATGTTAAGGTAATACCCTCTGGGAAGTGAGATTTCTGGTTTTATTTTTCCTTTTACTTGTATTTTGTAAATTTTCTATAATAAACATGTATTGCTTGTTACTTCTGTAATAAGGAGAACCTAACGCAACTGTAGAAGTTACTCACAGAAATCTACTGGTAGTTCCCCACTGCACACAGGACAGAACCCAAACCTCCGCACAGCCCGCACAGGTTCCAAGGCTGCAGCTCAGCTCCTCTCTTCGTGTGTTGTGTGTCCCTCAACCAGATTCGAGGACAGAGATGCCACCTCAGACTTTATGGCCCTCTGACCCCAGGAAAGACACACCACGAAATTATTCCCAGATGGCTGAGACAGAACCAAGCCCTACCCTTCCTGATCAGAGCAAATCAATTCTTGGTGATTGAAATTGATCATCTCAAATCAAGCGACTTTTAGCTTTTGAACACAATCATCTAAAAAGGAGAGTCTTCCTCCACAAGCATCACTAACTAGGGTTGGGCAGTGGCCGGTGCTGGGGTGAGAGGAAGGTCGTGTGGAAGTCAGGCCCTGCTGAGGAGTCTGGAGATGCCCTCTGTTGCCCCGTGAGGTCCTGAGAGGCTGCATCGAGGCCCCAGTGGTGCCAACAAGGAGCAGCTAGAATCGATCCTGAGCCTGTTCTGCCGGATGCCAACACTCAAAACAAAAGTGAGAGGCTGAGAACAACGCGTTGTGAAACAGCTGTTAGGAGAAAGGAAGGGGTGTCTAGAAGAGTAAGCGAAGTTCTAGCAACTGTGCTGGTGGTCTCCTCGATATTCAGCTCCTTTTTTTTGAGAGAGAGAGAGTCTCACTCTGTTGCCCTGGCTCAAGTGCAGTGGCATTATCATAGCTCACTGCAGCCTCCAGCCCCTGGCCTCAAGTGATCCTCCTGCCTTAGCCTCCCCAGTAGCTGGGACTACAGGTGCACACCATGCCTGGCTAATTTTTTCTATTTTTAGTAGAGATGGGGTCTCCTTCTTGTCCAGGCTGGTCTCAAATTCCTGACTTCAAGCAATCCTCCTCACCCAAGGCTTCATGTTCTTACACTTTCGAAATAAAGCAGGCCAGTTGCCTTAAGCTGCCTTAGAGATAGCATAAGACCAGGAGAGAGCAGAACTGGCTTAGATTTCACACACCCATGCTCACTGTTGTGTGATTGTGGGCAAGTTGCTGAGGTGCTCCAAGCCTGTTTCTTTGGCTGAAAAATGGGAATAAATGGCCTGTTTGGGTCCCAGTGGCCGTCAGGTGAGGCGACACTTGGTCCATATAGGAGCTGTACAGACCACGGTGTCTTGCAGGCTGCAGGTGCCTTCCCAGGGGTCCAAGACCCGTTGTTGGCTCCTCAATCTTTTGATCTTTCGCTGAATGGCAAAGCTTCTCCCAAGGCATCTTTGGTGAAAGAGGAACAGGCACACCATGCCACACAGCAGGTGGTTGGCTGCCGGGCTCTTGTCTTCAGGGCTAGCCTGCAGACCCCACCATCCCGGGCAAGCTTCCTGGCTCCACCCATGCACTCCCTTCCCTGTGAACCTCCACGGTGCTGACAGCCCCGCACCAGCAGAGCTTCACATTTCTCGAGACTGTGCTCAGAATCTGCATTTCAGGCAAACAGGAGAGGGGAAGAATTCCCATGAAATCCCTAAAACTGCCCATGCAGGACTGTGTCAGGGGCTTCACGTGTGCCATGCCATCAGAGCCACTGTGAGAAAAGCGTTACCTTCAAATGCTACAACCATACGTTGAGTGGAAGAGTGAGCAAAACCCTGCCCCCCATCCCCCGCACCACCTTAAGCCCCTCTTTCCCTTTCTCCCCTGGTGTGTAGGGCGCAGCTGAGCCACCGCCATCATGGGCCACAGGCATGGGTGCCAGGTCTGTGCAGTGCAGTGCACTGCAGAGGGCGGACCCGTGAGGAACTGAAGGGCATATGGACAACAGGGCTGACTGCAGCATTAGGCAGGCTCCCCCCTCAATCCACCCACCAACCCACCCACGTACCCACTGCAGGGAGAACAAGAAGAGAAGGCCAGTAGCACCTTGCTGCCCCCGCACAAGAGCTGCGAGCGCAGTTTTCTGTAGCATGTCCCTTGCTGCCCCTCGAGGAGAACACCTCTGGGTGAGCAAAGCCTCAAGAAGACGAGCAAGCGGCTGAGCTCTCAGCACAGACGGCTCCCCGTGGGAACGGAGAAGCCCCTTCCTTGCCGCAGCCTGGGAAATCCTCCTGGGCAGGATTTCCCCAGATGTTCTGTAATAAACCAGCAGTGGTATTGTGTCCTTAAAAAAAAATCTATCAGAAATCCTTTTCTCTGGCCTGTCCAGCCACTGTCCCCATGACAGGGGTCTGCTCAACACACTAGAGCTGTGCTGCATGGAGTCAGGCTTCACTCACTTAGCTCTTTCTACCTGCTGGGCCCACAGGAAGCCATTGCTGGCCCTCCCTCAAAATGCCCACCCATCACGGGCACACAGACAGGTGACAGAAGGATGTAGCCCAGGTGAGACAGACCCGGGAAAGTGAGGGCAGGAGACAGGGACTTCCCTTGCAGCCCGCGGACATGCACCAACATCATAAAGAACAGCACTCTGCTTTCTAAATGCTCCCTCCTCTTGGAAGAAGGTTGTGTCTTCTAGATTCCTATGGGCTCAGGTGAAGTAGGAAGGTCTCTGTTCAACAATGCCCATGGCCACAGCCTTGGCAGCGCTGAGTCCACTGCCTGTCCTCACCGGGGCTGGGGGAGGCGAGGTCAGGAGCCGCCGCCCGGGCCCTGAACCTACTTGATTTTCTTCTCTGTGAGCTGCTCCAGGGCAGAGTGGCAGTCATCCATCTCTTTCACAAATTCCAGGTTCCTCTTTTCAACCCTCTCCAGGTCCTGCCTCGCCTTGTCCCGCTCTCTCGCCAGCTGCTCCACCTGCCCTCTGCCACAGGAAGGGGACAGGGTCAGGTGGGGATGCCACCGTTGGTGCCTGCCACGCCAGGGCCTGCTTCAGGCCCAGCAAGCCCCATGTCTGCGTGAATGATAAGAACAGCTGTGTCAACGTATCGCAGATGGACCAGCACTGTGCCAACCTCACCGCCACCACCAACCCCTTCTTAAGGTGGTTCCTAAATTGCTATGTCCATTTTACAAATGTGTATCCTGAGAGAGAGAGGCCAAATGACCTGCCAAAGAAGTCTGAGCCTGCAGCCTTTCGGCATGCCACATCTCTTAGACAGCCCCAGGACGCCTGAGAATGGATCTGAGTGCCCTCTTGTCTATAGCTGGGCCATGGGCACCTTGGATCCCCAGCTCCTATTGCAGGAATGGACACACAAAACGGAGAAGGCAGGCCACCCACCATCCCTACTGGCCACAGCCCTGCCACCCAGCAGCCTGGCATCCAAGTGAGTACAAGGGGAGTCACCAAGCAAGAGGTGATTCACATGTGTGGCCTTGGCTCTGTCTGGCCACCCAGGCCCAGCTGAGGCTCTCTGTAAACTACTGTGGTAGCTGCTAGTCCAGTGACTGTTTCCCCTCAGAAGGAGATTTTCCCCCCTTCTCCTCCGAAGGTCAAGGGAGAGATTTAGACAAGTCCTTCTCTATCTGCAGAGCTGCCTGAGGCCAGAAGCCTCCTCTATTGGCACCTATGGAAATGTAGGTACCTAATGAGATGCAAGGTCTTTAGGATCGAGATTGTGATTTCTGCCAATCTTTTCTGCTGCTTCAGAACACCAATAAAAACATAAAAACAATCTTTAGGTGAATCTGCTTAGCAGGATGGCCTGGGTGGTCAGCCAAGCCAAAGGGAATCCAGTTAAAAGGGAAAGTGTTCTTGGCCCACTGTCACTGGACACTCTGTGACCATGTTTGAAAAGCACTTCTTTCTCCTCTGGCTGCTCTTGGAGGCACATCCCCAGCCAACTGGAGAGTCCTGCCTCCGCACCTGCAAGCTCTGGCATCAGCAGGATAAAGGGTCAGCTCAAGCCCTTCCCTTTGGAACCTCGGTAAAGGGGGCTCAGCCTCTCACCAACCATGAGGAAAGCCAGAGACTCTGAAATTCTGTGGACTCAAAAGCCTGAGCAGGCAGTCCCCTGGGTCCTTACACCTTGTCTAGCCCATAAATGCAGACAAGTGGGTATCACTCACCTCCCCACTCTCCATAGCTCAGCTCTGTCCTTGTCCCTCCATAAGCACCAGCTAAAGGGGCTGGAGAGCACAGGGCAGGTGGTGCACAGAGCCCTGCCCCAGGACTGGCCATCTGAGGTGGATGAGGGTGGCCCAGTGTCCTGTGTGTCCCAGACTCCCCTCGAGGCCCACCTGGCTGGCCTCACTCCCACACCCCGCAGTCCCTTGCAGGCTCTTACTGGTGGTAGCTCAGCTCCTGGCGGTAGCAGGCCAGGGCTGCCTGCTGGGCAGCACCGTCCACTGTCATGAGCTCGTTGTCGAGGGCCCAGGTCAGCTCCATAAGGTTCACCTTCTCGTCCACACTGAAGTCCAGGCTCTGGAAGTAGTAAGCCCGGTGGGCGGGAGAGGATGAGGAACTTCTCCACGTGCACGCTCTCCCAAGGACAGTCCAGGGAACCAGACTCACCCCAGCTCTTGTAGGCGGCACCTGCCCCTTTTATGTCTGCCTACTGAGAGGTGCCCCTCCCCGTCCCAGGTTCCTCTGGTGGACTGTCCACAACCGTGGTCCCCCAGACCCTCATCCCTGCTTCAGGGGTGGGTGCACCGGGCTGGACAGAGTCCCCCTCTCTAGACAAAGTGGCAGACAGAGACAGGGGTATGTTCCAAGCATGCACCTCAAGGGGACTGATGTGGAATCCAGGGGAGTGAGGCCCTTTTTCCCTCTGAAATCAATGGTTGTAAGGACCGTGTGAGCCTCAGGAAGCCCCATGGCCAGGAAGACCACGGAGGAGAGATGGAAAGAACCTAATGGCATCCCTGGAGCTCAGAGCCCTCGATTCCTGAAGTCCTCCCTTACTGCCCACCCAGGCCACTCCCTAACGCTCTCCTTTTGAATTGGGTTTTTGCCATTTCAAACTAAAAGACTCCTGATTAATATATCTCTATGAAATACACGTATGATAGGTAATTCTGTCGGTAGAAAAATGATCAGAGGAGGGAGCCGCCGTCAAAAGTGTCCCAGACAGGAACACTCTTTCCCCCTCAGGATTTTGGAAAATAAACTTAAAAATAAAATTAAAACGACAGAACAGTTTATGTCATGAGTATTTTACCACAATAAAAAAAACAGAACAATGAAAACCCGTAAGCCCCTTAGCTCAAGTGACCGATCACTAATATTTAGCTGCATTTGCTTTTTTGGCCTCGAGAATTCTTGACTCCTGCTTCCAACTATGACTCTTAAAAATTAGAAACAACTTCACTTGAGTCCAGCAGCAGGCACCATGTCAGAACCATCGTGATACAGGAAAAGCCAAAATATTTTTCTTATTCTTTCAACTCGACAGTCAGCACAGAATATTTCCCACAGGCTCCCCCTACACCAAGCAAGCAACTCTGCAGTGGACACCAGCTGGGTGTCAGGACGTGCCCAGCCTGGACACTCCCCTGTAGAATGGAGACTTGACTTCCCACGGCTGCCCACTGCACGCTCCTGAAGGAAATGGGTAAAGCTTGTGGAGCAACATGGGAACCTGAGGCTGTTATTATACAAGTGCCAACTTCCCAGCAACAACCTCACTGGATGGGGGCAGGGAACACACAGCAGCAGTTTCCCAACCAAGAAGGGAGTCATCAGAAACCATCCCAGAGTGGGAGCCTCCACAACTGCCCGAATGCCTGTGCCCGCACCTCCTGATTGCACTGGCACCCACACCTGCTGGGGCTCACCCCTATAATATTGTGAAATGAGTACTTGGCCTCGCCCACTTCCTGACATGCAGCTTCTAAAATCCTGGGAATCTCCAGAGCAGTAAGAGCATCTCTTGTACGCTAATGAGGTGGCTTGGTCACTGGGGCCCAGGGTAGCTTCAGGGTGGGGGCTGGTGTCCCGGAAGACCAGGCAGGATTAGAGGGTTGGGAATTTCAGCCAAGTCTCAACCTCTGAGGAGAGGCAAAAGGTTGAGTTGATCACCAATAACCAATGGTTTAATCAATCTTGCCTATGTAATGACGCCTCCATTAAAACCCAAAGGACTGGGTTCTGGGAGCTTCTGGATAGCTGAACACATGGAGGTACCTGGAGGGTGGTGCCCTGAGAGAGCATGGAAGTTCCATATCCCTTCCCCCATACCTCACCCTAAGTATCTCTTCCATCTCAATGTATCCTTTGTAATATTCTTTATAATAAATGGGTAAATATAAGTACAGTGTTTCTCCGAGTTCTGTGAGCCACTATAGCAAATTAATGACACCCAAAGAGGAGGTCATGGGAACCCCAGTTTATACCCAGTCAGTGAGAAGTATAGATGACAACCTAGTACTTGCAACTGGCATCTGAAGTGGGGGGCAGTCTTGTGGGACTGAGCCCTCGACCTGTGGGACCTGACCCTATCTCCAAGTAGACAGTATCAGAATTTAACTGAATTAGAGGACACCCAGCTGGTGTCCACTGCAGAGTTGCTTGCTTGGTGTATGGGGAGCCTGTGGGAAATATTCTGTGTTGACTGTCAAGTTGAAAGAATAAGAAAAATATTTTGGCTTTTCCTGTATCACAATATTAACCACAGAATATTGAGGAAGTGATGGTGTGTGACTTGCAGGCTAGGTCACGAGACAGGTAGCCTCCTCCTTGCTCTTTCTCAGATCCCTCGCTCCAGGAAAGCCAGCAGCCATGTTGTAAGGATGCTCAAGCAGCCGTAGAGAGAGGCCCACATGTAAGGAACGGAGGCCTCCCGAGTACAGCAAGCATCAGCTGGCTGGGGTGAGTATGCCATCCTGGAAGCAGATCCCCAGCCCCAGTCAGGCCTTTGGGAGACTGCAGTACTGGCTGATGCCTGACTGCAACCTCATAAGGACCCTGAGCTAGGACCACCCCACTAAGCTGCTCTCAAATTCATGACCCACAGAAACTACGTGAGATATGAACTGTTGACTGTGTTGCAGGGCACAATTTGGTGATAATCTGTTAAGCAGTGAGAGAGAACCAACCAAGGGTCTCCTCATAAAGCAGGGCCAGAATGAGCAGCTCTATTGCTGAGAACAGGAGGAAAGCAGTAAAAGGAGTAAGTACTAAAATAGTACAGGCAAGATGGAGATTCATCACTGACCAGACCACGGTGGCAGCCAGGGGACCCCAGTGCCAAGGAGTTAGGTGTCAGAGGGCAACTCAGAACTGCAAGCACTTTTGTTCTTTGCCCTCCCTGTGTGCAATTTTTGGTGACTCCGGCTCAGCCTTTGGCTTTCAGAACAGTCATGAGGGCCAGTTGCCCAGGTCTGACCTTTTTCATCCTAGGGGAAACTGGTTGGCTAAGTTGAGGCCCAGGAGGGTCTTCACCCACAAAGTCTGGCACACTGCTTTCAAGGCTGTCTTTCGGCTCTGTCACATACTGTTGGTTTGTGCTAACAGGCATTTTTGTTGATAATATGACAGAGCCTGTCAAGAATTAAAATACGTAATTTCAGGAATCTACCCTTCAGAGAAATACCAGCATAGGAGCATGAGGATGTTTATGCTGGGATTTACAATAGGAAAAAAATGGAAAAAACCCACACATCTAATAATAGGGAAAAAGTCACACACAAATTAGCAAGATACACTGTTTGATATCAATCTTGCAAAAAAATTTTTTTAAACCAGAATGTATGAATGTGTGTATGTTTCATGTGCCAGGGAAGAGCTCTGCAGGATGCCCACTAAGCCACCCATGGCCGCCTCCCCTGGGGAATGGGGACAAAGAGGGGTAGGCTTTCCTTTTTATTTTAGACATTTTTGTATAGTTAACCTCTTTTTAACAACGGAAAGTAAAATTTGGAAAAAATAAGTCCGGCTTGCTGCACTTCCCCAGGTGGTCTTCTGTCACTTGTGCATGGCCCCTGTGCACCTTGGACTTTGCCACCCTAGGGCAGAGCTCCCTCCAAATACCAAGGGCTGGCCCCGTGTCCCTGGAGGAAGTGTGAGCCTGTGAAGAGCTGTGGCCCTGCGTGAGGACAGCCCCCCAACACGCGGCCCATGGGAGGAAGGGTCTAGACTGAGTGGGTGCCGCGGGGAGAACAGCTCAGCCAGCCGGGCAGCTGCTCCGGGAGGAATGCTGGCTCACCATGAGCTCATCAGTAACCACGGTGACAGTGGTGCCCAACAGACACCTTCATCACAAGGCAGGCATTTCTTTCTAGTCATCTTACCTCCTTCCCTAGTATTGGGGAGAAATGTCTAAGATACTAAAGCCTACCTCCACCTGGATTTTTTTCAGACTATTGTTTTCTCCCTATTTTTTCTATTTTTAAATTAAAATTTCCTATATTTTAATAGCAAAAATTAAAGGAAAAATATTTCTACCTGGACTTCTCTACATGGACTTCACACAGAGCGTGTGCGCCCGGCATGGGGTGCTCCATCCATCCTCCTCTCCAGGTCCCCTGTCCAGCCCCACCACTGCCTGGACATCACCCAATGGGGCAGCTGGGAGTGGCCAATTCCAAACCTGCAAGATCTCCCCGCCGTTCTGAATCCCCTCCTGGGCCCACACGGCCATGACCTGCTCAGGAAAGGCAAAGCCAGTGCCATCATCGATGCTGGAGAAGAGGCGCAGGCCCAGGCACAGGGACACGAGGGATGAGGTCGTGGTGGTGTGGCAGCCGCTCTCCTCCGGAACCTGCATGGGGGAAACGGAAGATACCCCGAGCCCCAGGCGCTGGTAAGCCTCGGAGCATCTGTGCCTTGTTAACGTGCTTTCCACCCTCACCAGCCTGTGCTTGGCACTTTGCTGTCTCATCAGGGCCTAGTAAGAACTCACAAGATTATTGTTAGCTCCTTTTCCTAGACAAGGGAGCAGAGGCACGTAGTCTGCCCAAGATCACACGGTTCTGCAGTAACAGAGCTGGGACACGGACCGGGGACTCCTGACACCCAGCAGGGCGCTGTCTCAAGAACTCTGAGGCCTTGTGCTGCGTGGCCCAACCAGACAGCCCCAGTCAGCATGTCTTCGCTTGAAGGGGGACGATAAAGAGGCTTTAATGTTCCTCCCTGGGATTAGCAGTGAGGAGCACCTGGCCACACAGAGGCAGAGCCCCAGAAGGTCCATGCCAGCACATGGACACACTAAGGAGCTGCCATGTTCCACACACTGTGCATTATCTTCTGTAGCCCTGTGAGGTGGGCACCCAGACTGTCCCCAGTTTACAGATGAGCCTGGGTCTCAAAAAAGGTGAGTAACGGCCCCAGTGACACACAGCTAGGAAGAAGCAACACTTATCAGTCGCAGATTTGCGTGGCTCTAGAATCTAAGTCACAGGCCTCCCACCTACACATGTATGCACAAGCCCCTGTCCAAGTCCTTGACAGCTCAGCTTGCTGCATGGGGCACAGCCAGGGCATCAGCAGCTTCAGTGACCAGAGAGTGATGGTAACCGCTGGGGTCCAAGATTTAATTGTCTCATTTTACCTGGTAATGAGACCAGGGCCTGCTCAGGTTGACCTGAGTGGAAGATTCTGGAAGTGAGGTAGGCTCATGACTCAACAGGCCAAGCTGGAATTCTTCAAGACTCACTCTGCCATCTCCATCTTGATCCAGTTTGTGAAACAGGTCCTCCAGTTCCTAAACAAAAGCCGTTACATCTCAGGCTCAGAGGCCCAGCCACAAGAGCTATGCACTAGCCATCCTCAGCAGGGCCTCCCCACTCCCAGCAGAGGCAGTCTGCTTGTCCTTAGCCAAACTCAAAACTCCATGCCACACCTGGCTGTGCCTTCCCAAGGCCGCCTCCTCTGTCCTATGAAGCCACAGGCCCTGCCAGTCTCCACCCCACTGCAAGTGAGCATCACCTAAGCTTCCCAAATCCACAAATACTCACTGTCTACCAGGGCAGGAACTTGCTGGACGCAGAGATGTGCACATGGAGCACAGCCAGGCCCCGCTATCCACGGTCCAGCAAGGGTGCAGGGCTGAGGACAGTCCTCACCAGGTGGGCCCTCAGCCCACCCCTGCAGGGCTAACACATCCCCCGGGGAACACAGGCAGGCTCAGACTCGGCATCTAGGCTGGGTGGTAGAACTGGGCTGCCCAGAGAAGAGGAAAGGTGTTCCAGGCAGAGGAAGGATCATGAGTGAAGGTATTAGAAGTTCCCGGCTCATGTGAGAGTGGCAAGGAGTTAGTGAGATTGACTCAAGCGGCCAGAGAGGGATTTTCCAAGGTGTCTGGAGGTTGACCTTCAGCAGAAATGCCAGGAGCCATCAAAGGATTTTAGACCAGAAAGTGATATTCCTGAATCACTGACTGAAGGGTGGAAGGATTTTCCAGACTCAATACTAACCCACGACCACTGCAAGGGACAAGCTGCTGGGGTGGTCCGTCTCGGCCCTCTCACCTCTTTCTCCAGTCCTCGGAGCCCGACACTCCGGCAGACCACAGCCAGCTCCTGCTCGTTCAGGTGCCCACTGCTGCCAACACCCAGCTCTTCCCAGATGCCCTGGACCTGGCTCTCGGGGGTGTCAAAGGAGGGGCTGCGGGACTTCTGGGGGCTCCCGAAGACCTCGGAACCCCAGGTCTGCAGCTGGCCTGAAGCAAAGGGGAATGACAATCAGTGGGATATGAGTCAGCCTTAAAAAGAAGGAGATCCTGCCATTTCCAACAACATGAAAGAACCTAGAGGACATTGTGCAAAGTGAAATAAGTGAAATAACAAAGGCAAATAGCATATGATCTCACTTACATGTAGAATCTAAAAAAATGTGAAAACTCACAGTAACCGAGAGTAGAATGGTGGTTACTCAGCAGGGGCTAGGGTGTGGGGTGGGAGGAGATGCTGGTCAAAGGGTACAAACCCTCAATTACAAGATGAGTAAGTACTGGAGACCTAACATACAGCATGGTAACTACCGTTAACAAGATTCTATTAGTTACTTGGAATCTGCTAAGAAAGTAGATCTCAAAAGTTCTCAGCACACATAAGTAATTCTATGAGATGATGGAGATGTTAATTAGCTACACTGTGGTAACCATTTCACAATGTGTGTGTGTACCTACATACTGAATCATTATGCTGTATACCTTAAATGTATACAATTTTTATTTGTCAATCACACCTTGATAAAGCTGGGGGGAAATCCCAACAACAGTTAAACCCTATGCTCCAGGCTGAAGCACCCGGGGGATGCACACCCATGCTGGCTAACTACCCTGAAACCAGAGGGATGGCAGATGGACAGGGATGGACAGATAGACACATGGGAGTCAAAAAACATCAAAGGTGGAATTAGATGGTGGCTACATGGGTGTTCACAGTACAATTCTTTCCATTTCATTTTGAGTTTGCAAATTTTCATAATGTTAAAGGAAATCTCTGCTCCACCTGGGGAAAGCTCTTTCTAAAGGGAAGTTTCTAAAGTCAGACCACTGAAAGCACATAAGAGGGCTCTATTATTTTATTTACAACAAAAAGATCAGTTTTTTAAAAACCTAATTTTTAGAAACTTTCCAAACCTATCCAGAGCAAAGAGAAGAACATAGTGAAGCCCAGGGCACCTGCTGCTCGGGCTAAGTGACAACAGGACTCTGCCACATAGACTTCATCTCTCCCCCTTTTCCTAACAGTTGAAGCATGTGACAGTGCATGTACTCCTTAACTTACAACAGGGTTATGTCCCCATAAACCTGCTCTATGTTGAAAATATCGTATGCCAAAAATGCATTTAAAACACCTAACGTACTGAACATCCTAGCTTAGCTTAGCCTACCTTAAATGTGCTCAGGAACATGTCCATTAGCCTGGAGTTGGGCAAAATCATCTCACACAAAGCCTATTTTATAATAAAGTGTCCACTATCTCATATAATTTATTGCATACTGAGAGTGAAAAACACAACAGTTGCATAGGTCTTCAAAGCATGGTTTCTACTAAAGGCGTGTCACTTGTGCACCACCATAAAGTGGAAAAATCATTAAGTGGAACCATCATGAGCTGGAGACTGTCTATGTCTGAAATCCCAGATATCACGTTATCTCACTCCCACACATTTAGTATATATTTCCAGAAAATACGGACATTTTCTTGTATCACCACATGGCACTATCATACCTAACAAAAACAGTAGTTTTCCAACTGTTTCAAAGACGTCTTCTTATAGTGACTTTTCTGAATCACTGTCCAAACTCCCCAGGGTGCACTTGGCTGTTATTCCTCTCAAGTATTTTGGCCATAAGCCTTCTCTCACCTCCCGACAGCCCAGTGTTGTTTAAGAAACGGGATCAGCTGTTCTGTATAATGTCCCCCATCTGAGATTTACCTGCTTGCTTCCTCATGGTGTCATTTAACTTGCTCCTCTATCCCTAACGTTTCCTGAAAACCTAAAGTTAGCTTCAAAGACTAATTGGATTCAGGTTTAACTTTTTGTTGGTTTTTAAAACATTTTTCTGGCAAAAATCCTTTGCAGGTGGTGCTATGTACTCCACATGCCAGACACATGGAGCACAGGTGTTTCTGAGACTCATCAAAAGGTTTGGTTGACAGACGGCCAGTTTTTATAACCTTTCTTCTTCAGCTGGTTGGCTTCCTGATGTGTTTCAAGCTTAGCTGGAAGAAACAACTTGTGGACGAGGACATACGCTGGGTGTCCATAAGGCAGTGCCTATGGGGAGCTCTGTGTACAGCCAACCACGCCCCTCCACACCCAGTCCATACCACCCAGCCCAAGGCAGGGAGGAGGCTGCGTTCACCTAATGCAGACTTAGAGGGAAGCAGTTCTGTGTCAGTGGCCTGGATCTTTCAGGTAGATGAGCCCCATGGGCATCAACTGCTTTGATAACTCCCCTGGTTAACAGTAAAACCATCATCCCGTAAGGAAGGCCAGGACCCATGTGCTCACGAATGACGTGTGGGCCGGGATGAGGAAAACGCTAGGAAAGGGCCAGTCAGGAAAAGGCCACCTCTAAGACCCCACCCAGCCTACCATGTCTGAGTAGAAATGCGAAGGCAACCCTGACACTGGAGTTCCTTTCTCAGAGCTCGCAGAAGAGGGCAAGCAAATCCTTCAATGCCTGACAAGAGTGTGCGTGTACTCCTGTCAGTTCTGAGCTGGTGGGAAGGCTTCCGCCCACGACTGGGAAGAACCCAAACCCATTCTCCAGGTAGAAAACACCGAAGTTGCTCTGTAAATAATCTCCTCCCGAGAGCACTTCCTTTTGCTACCCTAGATTTAGACTTCAAGTCCAAGGCAGCACAGATGGAAGCTCAGATCAGTTTCTCTGTCGTTTTCCCCAACAAAAGTTGAAGAAAAAATGTCCCTGGCACTCAAGGACACAATCCACGGAGTACTGTTTACTTTGCCAGAAATTCCAGGGCAATGCTGGTTTCCCTCTCTCCAAGCCAGGTTTTTGCACCGTCAGCCCCATGTGACCCACCATGTGGGAGACCTCTTTAGGGCATCCACCAGCTCACAGGGAAAAGCCCAGAAAGGCAGTGAAACTGCTCACAGGACTGAGGAATACAGACCAGCACTACTCCCTGCCCTGCATGGTCAGCGGCCCACCCGGCCTACAGCCCAGCCCAGACAAAGGAAATCGGAGGGCACTCACCCGGGTTGGGGGTGCCCAGGGTGCAGTGTGCTGACTAGGAGCCACAGATCTAACCATGTCTCACGAGTGGCATACAGCAGAGCGGGCAGTCTGATGTCTTCTGGGCGGGACCTCACACCTCCTCCAACAGGACATACCCAACAGCGCCTCCCCACCCCTTACCCAACCAGGCAGCTGGAGGCTGCCAGCAGCCTGAAGAGGCCTCTGTCCTTGTTCAGTCAGCTCCAGACTCTCCTCCCCGGTCACCGGCAGCCCACACCCCCAGCATTTGTCCTCCTCATCACTGCCTTCCTCGAAGACCAGACAGCCTCCTGTGGGCCCCCACACCTTCTACATCTGCTTGTTAAGGACCCCACAGTTTGCTCCCCACAAGTCTACTGATGCCTCCGGTTTTTCTGTTTCTAGAAGCACATGACATCCACCTGTTCCAACTCTTCCCCTCTTCCAAAATGCCTTCCCTCTTCTTTCAGCCTGTCTCTGTGCACAGTTTAAGAACAGGGCTTCAAAATTCTTTGATACTCTTCCCATAAGGTCTGGGTCCCTTCTCCTTGAACCTGGCATCCATGTGACAGTTTCAACCAACAGAATATGGTGGGAAGGACACTGTGTGACTTTGAGGCTGGCCTGAACTCAATGAGGCAACCCCAGCCTTGTTTTCAGGACCACACGTGCTTGGGGCCCAGAGTGGCCAGGTGAGATGGCTGACTACTCTGAGCCACCAAGCTTCGAGGAAGCCCAGCCACACCGAGGCCACCTGTGGCCATTCTGAGGCAGTCCTGGTCTGAGCCCCCTTAGCCTAGAGGCATGAGTGACACTTCACATGATTTCCCATCCCAAGTCCATCCCTTCTCCCAGCCTTCCTGGAGCACCAGCCCACTCCTCAGAGCAGCTCTGCAGCAGTGTCATGAAAGCTTGGGCTATGGTCATGAAGGCCTGGCATGAACCCTGGCTCTGTTCTCAAGCTCAGCAAGACCCTTACCCCTGAGCCTTGGGCTGCTCTGAGGGAAGGGATGCTCGACCACATCAAGCCTGTTGCAAGGGTTAGCCAGGCTACCCCTGCGAATCACCTAGAGTAGTTACTCGGTGCTCAATACCCCACTGTGACACATCCTCTCACATGTACCTTGCCGCGGAACTCCTTTTTTCACTTTTTCAGGCATCACATAAGTCAGCAGTTAATTCTATTAATACACTGTCTTCTATTTTGGCATTGTTTGCTGTAAGTGTTGGTCTTATCTCCCCAGTTACACTCTAGGATTCTTAACAGCTGTTTATCAGCTAATATCAAAGTTGCATCACAGGCAAATATAATTAAAATGAAAAAGAAGTCCTCCCTTCACAACCTCTGTTCCCCTCCCCAGAGGGATCTACTGTGAAGAGTTTTTTGCCTAGCCTGTTAAGGTATTTCTGTACCCACAGAAGCATGTAATGCACATGTCACCCTAGAAAGGCGGAGTTCACATCCCACTCATACCTGTGCATGCAGCTTCTGTTCCCAAAGCACTAGATCTTGAGGAGGACGCCACAACAGCATAGATGGTTGGCCCTCCCTTTTCCACGCTGCACAGTGTTCTGATGCCGGTGTACCGTGATTTGCCTATGTGTACCAGCTGCTGGCCTTCCAGCTGCTACATACGGCTCTGAAGCCAGGACCACATCTTACACTCTATTGGGGCACAGACTGGGACCCTGGTGGGTGCTGAGGCTGCTCCATCACAGCAGGAAAGAGACTGCATCCATCCCTGCCTGCCAGGAAGGAGGTGCAGGGCTACCGTGTGAGTGATCAGGCTGAGCAGGGCCCTCTAGCCTGAAACCTCAGGGCCACACTTGCCATGTGGGGTCACTTGCAGACCATGAAATGAGACAGAAGCACACTGCTCCCTTGGCCAGTGGCCTCTGCCCTGGGATCTGAGTTCAGGGGAAGCTGAGAACTGAGTGACTGTCTCACAGCTGTGATGACATTCTGACCACTCCAGGAGAAGGGGTGCAGCCTGGACACTATGCACATTGTGCATTTCGCAGGAAATTATACTTGTGGCTGTGCAGTGCCCAGCGACAGCTCCTTGAACTTTCGAAGCTCTCGTCAAAAGCAGAGAACACAAAACATGAGGCCTGGCTTTACCTTGTGCTTCGAATAATTCATTCTGAGGTTCTTTAGTGCTCTCAGTTTCTTCATCTGACTTGAGACTCTGCAGAAAAATGAAAAGAGAAGAATGTGAATCCCTTAGGGCTGCAGTCCCCAACCCCCAGGGCTGCAGACTCATACTGGTCCTGGCCATGGCCTGTTAGGAACCCAGCCGCATAGCCGGAAGCAAGTGAGCAAAGCTTCATCTGTCTTTACGGCCAGTCCCAGTTGCTCACACAACTGCATAAACCCCGCCTCCTATCAGATCAGCAGCAGCATTAGATTCTGATGGGAGTGTTAACCCTACCATAAACTGTACACGTGAGGGATCTAGGTTACATGCTCCCTGTGAGGATCTGAGGTGGACCTGAGGAGGTGGTGCTAGTGCTGGGGAGCAGCTGCAAACACAGATTATCATTAGCAGAGAGGTTTGACTGCACAATAAATGTAATGTGCTTGAATCATCCTGAAACCATCCCCCTGCCCCGTCTGTGAAAAATTATCTTCCATGAAACCAGTCCCTGGTGCCAAAAAGGTTGGGGACTGCTGTCCTAGGGGACATTACAGGTACTGGAGCACCAGGAACAAACAGAACAGGATGTTTTGGGAAGAGGGAGGGGATAATTGGGGATGCAAAGTCAACCCCTCAAAGGAAAAGCTCACCCCACAGCCTTGGGGCCACCGTACTCGCCAGCCGGCAGCCCCAGGCTGAGGCCCCGCATGGTGTAGACCTAGCTGAGAGCCTGTAACACACCACATGGACTGACACCCTCTCAGAGGAAGAAGATAGGACCTGGAGACAGTGACACAACTGTTCTACACTCGGGCTCTTCCACACAAACCAAAGTCATCATAGTCCACACCAAAAACACAATCAAGCACTTGTGTGTCCTAATAGGAGAGAAACCCGCTCCCTAAGGCTGATCACTGCCTATCTGCACCCTTCCCTCATCATCCACATCAGTTCAGCAAACAGGCGCAAGGCAAGAGCAGGTCTCTGTGTCCCTCCAGGGGCTCCAGGATGGCAGTGTGTTACTTCAGCAGTCTTGCAAGCTTGCACCCAAAAGAGGAGACACAGGACCATCGAGAAACATGTGACTTAAGTAGTAACTTTTTGCTGCAGTGGAGTCAGCTGACCATGAAGTCAGAGTCTACATCTGCCCAGATGCTGTGCATCTCCATGCCGGAGTGTGGAGTGAATGCCTGGTGATCAAGACTCTACTCCTCAAACAGTCAGAATCTGTGAGTTGGTGATAAATGTTCAACTCCATTTTTCTAATGCATTCAACTCAACTGACAATCTTAAAGGCAGCTTTCCCTGTGTTCAGGTTTCAGGAATCAAAGATGATTTAAGAAACAGAATGGCACAAAGAAGATAAAGCACCATGAGGAGTAGTTTCACTCAATCCTCTGTCCCTGAGGTCCAAGTTTTAAAAAGAGAATAAAAAAGGAATGCCCCAGATTTACTGGTGTTGCCCGGGTGTAACACGCCCCTGAGAAAAGAGACTCTTAAGATTTAAATGTTATGTTTGTTTTTCCTCTTTGCCTCAACAAATATTGAAAATATAAACGAATCAATTTTGGGCCCCAGAGTTGTCTTATTAAAGATAAGCTCCAAGCTCCGTCCCATCTGTCAGAAGCTGACATCACAGAGATCAGGAACCAGGAACCTTCTGGAATCTTTGAAAACAGGTCTCCTGAGCCCACGATTAACTTGCAAGCTGTGGACCTGCACCACAGATGGTTTACTCAAAATGAAGCACTGAAAGGCTCCAGCAGCTTAGGTGGATCCCTCGATCCCACGCACCTGCAGTGAATGGCCGGGGGTGGGGGTGGCAAGGGTCAGCAACTCCCAAGGCCCCAGGGACACGTCTGGCAGGTTGTAAGTGTGTGGGCTCTGGTACATCTAAGTGTTGGAAGCAGGTGGAACTGTGGCTTGCTGCACCCACATTCCCGACAAGGAGGTTGCATCAAAATGGCATCCTCCCTTTTCTATCCTCACCACATTAACAACTCACTCCTAGGCAGCCACAAACATCACCTTCTTGCAGCGATGGGAAGGTGGTGGTGGTGAGGAGGGAGGGTGAGAACAAAGGATTTACGCACAAAGTCTCCACTGCCCAAGTCTGAAGGAGAGAGCCCTGTGGCCAGGATTGCTGTAAAGACAATCAGACCCAAGACAATTTAAACGAAATTCTTCAATGTGACCCATGCTTCTGGCAACTGAAGATGCCTCGGAGTGCCTCCGTCCTCTCCACATCCTCTTGTGATCACATGTTATGAACAGAGATGACGGGAGATGCCATTTCCCCAATACTGAGCAACCTGCAGTGGACAGGCATGGCACGGCCCACCTCTACACTTTCCAGAGACGCAGAACGCCGGAGCTGGCTTTTCAGGTTGGCCTTGGTTTGCTGTTCTGGTACATATCTGGCTTTGATGGCAGCATCGCACACCTCGGGCTGGCTCCAACGGCCATACCACTTAGAGCCCCTCATGTATTTCGGCGGGACAGCACGGGAGGCAGCTAAAAAGAAAAGGAGAGATTCGGTGGGGGAGTCTTTTGCAACATTTCTGGGCTCATACATGCCTGATGGATGCCCTCTAGGAAGGTGCAGACTCAGCACACAGCAACTCCTGGATGCACACGGTTATACTCACAGAAACGTCTGGAAGAACACAAGAAAGAATTAACAAGGGCTATCTTATTGCCTGGGTTGGGAGATTGAAAAAGCCAGGGCAGGGAGACAGGAACTTGTATAAATGTCATGCACTATTTGCACTTTTTCAAGAACATTTTACTTTTGCTTATGTAACCAAAGACTAATACAAAATCTAGCTTTTTATGCAAATGAAAAAATATCCTCCAATAATCCAAGAACATACAGCTCTAGAAACCTGATGATCACGTCCCATGACTACTCACCTTAAAACCCCATCCTGACAGGGCTGGTGTAGTGGGGGCAGGCATGGCCACAGACACAGCCAGGAAACCCCACAGCAGGTCTAACAGTATGGGGCAGAGGCTGGTGTGGATTTTAGTTTTAGAATCGATGAGAATCCCAACTTACAATTCCTTGCACTTTCTTCTTCCCACCTTACTTCTCCACACCTGCACATAATAGCTGGGACCTCTCAGGCACAGAAGAAACCAACACTGACCTGTTCCAAATCCTAATAAAGTGTGCCATGTGGGCAAGACAGGAGAGAGACTGGCGAGGGCAGCATATGCAGCAGCCACGACAGGGCGTGGGGCTTGGAGGGAGGAGGCACCAGCATGCAGCCAGTTGGAGAGAAAGGGATAAGGCCCCAGTGAAGTAAGGCCCAGCCAGGGAAACTGAGGTGTGTTTCCTTGCAGGTGTGCTGGACCTCAGCCCAGCAGAAGTCATGCTCCCCAGGACCAAGCACTGCCTTATTTCTTTCCTCTGCACCCCACAAAGATGGTCCACAGCCTTGAGACAAGCAGAGGAGGAGGCTGGGTCGAGCCCAGCTGACTACAACACAGAAAAAGATGGCAACTGGGGACGAGGGACAAAGTTCAGGGAGGAAGATGGTGAGTCCCACCCAGGACATGCTGAATGTGGGGTGACAGTGGGACATTTAAGGCATCTGACAATATTCAGGGTGACCTCTTAATTTCTCACCCCACTGCGACACTCTTGGAGTCACTGTGGACCCTATTAACAATCGCCCTGGAGCGGGCATGGTGGCTCATGCCTGTAATCCTAACACTCTGGGAGGCTGAGGCGGGTGGATCGCTCAAGGTCAGGAGTTCAAGACTAGCCTGAGCAAGAGTGAGACCCTGTCTCTACTAAAAATAGAAAGAAATTAGCCAGATAACTAAAAATATATAGAAAAAATTAGCCAGGCATGGTGGCACATGCCTGTAGTCCCAGTTACTTGGGAGGCTGAGGCAAAAGGATTGCTTGAGCCCAGGAGTTTGAGGTTGCTGTGAGCTAGCCTGACGCCACGGCACTCTAACCCAGGCAACCAAGCAAGACTCTGTCTCAAAAAAAAAAAAAAAAAAATCACCCAGGACAACAGGCATCAAGAGGGCCTGACCCACCAAATGCTCACCAGAAGAGACAGAGTTCATGGGGAGTGTTGACAAGGAGGAAAATGCTTCCACGTTAGCAGACAGAAAATAGGAGAACATGAGAGGAAATGTGCCAGTGCTCAGAAGGGCAGCTACCAACACGGACAAAGACTCTCAATACTGAGTTGCCGAAAGGGTGCTCGCTCAAGTGACCATTCAGCACTTCCCTTAGGATACTGAGCCACCCAGAAAAATACATGCTTTTTTGTAATATTCCCCAACGCTCACAAAAGGCAGCCCAGCAGTGTCCCACCTCCCTCCATCCAAGAGAAATGCTACCCTAGAAGAGAGTGTTCACATGGCCCATCGGGACAGAAACAAGAGTGGTGCAGAAATGGGCGAGGGCAGAATAAACGGGGCAGCTTCCCAGTCCCACGGAATTGTGAAATCTCTTCCTCTCCAGTGAGGGATGCTGTGAGTCACCTGGGCCGAGCGCCTGCTCAGCGTGAGTACAGCCAGGCCCCCAAGCCACACCCCAAAGGGCACACGAGGTGCACAGTGAACAGTGCCCAACACCCCACAAGGGCCCACTGGACAGCACTCTTCGAACCAGAACCCAGCACAGCTGGCGCACCTTCTTGATGTATTAATTATAGGGAAAGTGTAACAAAGCTCCACATTAAAATGCATTCAATTATGTGTTCAATAATGGCCTTTAACAAAATGAAGAGAATGACAGGGGAGCAAGGTTGTTGTTCAAAATCCAGGGCACATGGTCACATCATGGAACTCTCACGGAACAACTCGCAGAAAGCACATTTTTCTAGTTGAGATGGGAAGTGAGGGAAGAGCCAGCAAACAGGTCAGAAATCAGGAAGAAAGTACGGTCAGGACTGGAGCAGAGCAGGCAGCGGGGCCCTGAGGGCAGAGCCCTGGAGCACTGCAGACAGAAGGGGCCCAAGGAGAGAGAGAGGAAGGCACTGGGACTGGGCAAGGCCAGGGACCAGGGAGGGCCAGAACCACTAAGACTGGGCCAGAGTCTGGGGAAATGAAACCAACACGGTCCCGGGGGGCACTGGCACAGCTTGCTCCAACTCTTCCACCAGCACCCACACAGCCCTTTGGGGTGGATAAGGGACTCCCAGCCCCCAGGAGGGAACTTGTCTCAGGCAGCATACACAACCATCGAGTTGAGGAAAGCTTTGAAACAAAGCTAACCTGAAACAAAAGAAAAAACAACAAACTGGAATTGGTGAGAAAAAGCATAGGTCCTAAACTAGCTTCCTGTTTCTTTGGAAAAACTGAGAACGTGCCCCATAGATTCAGACAGTTTTAAGCTTAGAAGCACCTCACACTTAGGGGAAAGATTTTCTGTTTTCGCTAACATGGACAGGGAAACACATGACATCAATGGGGCCAGGCTGTCACCTTCTTAAGGCACTTAGTTTAAACTCAATCGCATTCCAGGCTCCCTGTGCAAGTGGCCCCCTTCACGTCTTAGATAAGGAAAGTGAGAGACAGCAACTGGCAACTCACCCAAGGTCATGCAAATGGCTGTTAGCCACTGGCTGGCTCTGACCCCAAGTCGTCCCCTCCCACTCCAGGGCTCTACCTGCTGTGCCCCTGTGTCTCCACAGCAGGAGGGGAGGTGGGGAAGGGCCCAGCCGACCACCAGAACCCAGCGGGCTGGGGCGGCGGCCCGCACACAGGGGCCCAGGGCCTCAAGTTGCAAAACCGGGACCCAAATCCTGGCCACCACATACTGTGGGATCGTGGAGAAACGTCTTCTCGCCTCGGACCTGTTTCCTCATCTGAACACGGGTATGATAACGCCACAGATTTCCATGAGGGCTAAATGGAATCTCCATAAAACACACGTGAAGCTCAATGCCTGGCGCACAGAAGAGCTCTGTGTGAGCCCGTGTCCCTTTCCACCTTCCCCTCCTTGGCCCCAGCCCCTGGACCCCGTTACCCGACCCCAGGCAGCCCCTCCTGACCAGGGTCCCCGGGGCAGCGGCCCTCTTCAGCACGCTAGTCGACAGCACAGACGTGGCGGCGTTCGGCACCGCACACGCCGTCCAGACGCGGGGTCCTGCAGGCCAGGCGCGGCCGTAAACGAGGCGCGCTGCCGCCACCATCCCAGCGGCACCCCTGCGCAGGGCCTCCTCCGCGCTCCCTGCACCGCGTGACCGGAACTCAGGCCAGGCGGCTTTCCCCAGGACGCCACTTCCACTTATTAATGCTATCTCGTCCCACCATCCCCATTTCTTATGACAGGATTACGATTAGTACAATGCAACAGCACCACAGAGTTATCTGCGACAAACCAGCTTGTCCTGGCGCCTGGCCAGCCTGCTTTGCCGCCCCCGGGGACCCGGGAGGGCATCCCTAACATCCGCACTGCGCTGGGAAGTCTGGAATCTTCCACTTCTCCACAGCCGCTCGCTCACTCGATCTCGTCAACAACCCCACGCGGCAGGCATAGCACGTGTTGTTATAACGCTATTTTACAAATACGGAAATGAAAGAAGAAAACACCCAAGGGTTTTGTCCAAGTCCACACAGCTTGGCAGTGAAAGAAAGTGGAGTTAGAATTTAGTTTTCAAAACTGCTAGATTCTTCCATTAGAATATTATACTCCAAAAGGTAACAAATAAATAATGAACAGAAACTAAAGTAGACAGGAGGAAATCACCTTACCTGTGTCCAAAGTACTACTGTCCTCCTCCGAGGGGCCAACAGCAGCATTTGATGACAACACAGCCACAAAACCTTCCTTAAATTCCTCAAAGTTAACCTGGATAAATTTAAGCAAAGATAGGATAATGTTACTCTCAACACATTATACATTTAATATGTTAATCTTTTGGTTTTTTTCTCAGTTAGAAACATCTTACTGTTGCCTTTTAGAATGAGAATGTTCATTTCATCTTTTCAAATATTTTCTCAAAAATTTTTAAAATAGAATAAGGAAAGTAAAAGTGGATCATAACCTACCACCAAATAAACACTATTAACAATTTTATAAATTAAAGAACATAATTAGAAAATAAAACGGCACAGAAAAGAGGGATATAAGGACCATAAAATATTAAACAAAAACCCAGTATCTATGCTACTCCCACCCCAAAGAAACAGAATGCTGCCAGCATCCCAGAAGTCCCCTCCACCAGGAATCTCTTCCCATAAATCTCCTGGCTCCTACTCTGACTTTTATGGTAATAACTTCCTTGTTTTTCTTTTCTTTATTTCTTTTTTTCCCCACTAGCTTAACTCTTTATTGAAGGCAGATTACAAATGGAAATTAAAGCATGAATCTGGCATATAATTCAGGTTACTCTTAAGGATTGAAAAGTATATTTTTTTGTAGTCTGTTCTAGATGATTAACTATGTGAAACAATCATAAAAAATCAGCACTGTATCAAAGGAAATCATTTTAGCAACATGAATTCAAAAAGAAATATTCCAGATGGAAAATTTCTGCATCTACCTTGACTAGCAATTAATATTAACTACATTACAAGGGGCAAAAAAAGCTCATAAAATATTTTGAAATAATCAAAATACTAATTAATCTATTACCTATACTGTTTGATCTCTGATGTAGGTTATCTCATTCTTGGGAACTAAAGAAAGAAAAGATGCAAAGTAGGGATATGATGGCTTAGGTAAAAGATTACTGAACACCATTAAAGGTAGAATTTTTCAAAATCTCATATACTCCTCTATTTAAATCAGTAGCATCTCTTCCCAACTAGGTTGAGAGCAAAAATCATATTTATATCTTTTTTAATAGCCTCCAAAACACATTGGACTTAACTTAAAAATCAATGAGACCCACTTTCAGAATTCTTTTTTGTGTCTGGATCACTAACAAGTGTACTCTTGTGCAGAAATCAGAGCTAACCTTTGTTGCAATTCTTAGAGCTTTATGGTTGATGTTATTTCTCAACTTAAAAAATCATTTTTTCTGTTGTTCACTCAGAGAAGTTTAAAAATACTCAATAAGTCAATTAATGTTCCCTTCCCAGAAGATGTTTATGTACAAGTATTCTTAGTGGTAGGAAAACAGAGGAACCTCAATTTTTCTAGGTATGCAAAACCAATGTCTTGTGTCTTCTTAAGAATCTAAGGGATTCTACACACTGTGGCCTGTACTCTTTACCTGCCTGCTTCTTTGTTTTCTTTTTTTTTACTCAAAGGACTCCCAATTTATCAGAGCTGGAAATTTCATCTATCATGTAGTAGATTTAAATGTAAAGAGGCATTAATGTGTGTTACATGAACTGTACTAATTTAGGGTAAATAAATGAATGCCTCAATGAGTCTGAAACTATTCCTTTCAAAACTGAAAAACTGCTGGAAATCTGTTCAAAGAGTGGATTGATAAATATTAATACAAACAATACATTCTTAACACACTGTGAACGAACTACGGCAGCAGCCTCCTGGTTGGCCTCCCCGCATTAGCCCCATTAATCAACTGTAATGATTGCGAAATTTAAATCTGGTCCCCTTTCGAAGATATCCCATTGCTTTTAGGACAAAAACAAAACTCCTTCACGAAGCCTGTAAGGTTTGGCAGGCCCCTCATCGCTCCAGCCCCAGTTATTTGTGCAGGAAAAGCTCCCTCCTGACCCAAGTCTTTCCAAATGTTATTCTTTTCACGTGGAATGTCCTTTCCTTAGTTAACTCCTGCTAGCCCTTTGGCACTCAGCATGATCCTCACGTGCTCCAAAAAGCCTTCCCTTACCTCCTTAACGAAGGCAAAATTCCTAGTTCACACTCCCCTAACACCACATAATTCTCTGTATCGCTACCATGGTTGCAGTTTCACATTCACCCCATGTCTGTTTTGTTTACCGTCTCTCTCTCACCAGCTTAGGTCTACGAAGGCAGAGGCCTGACCAGTCCACATGGCGGGCGCTCAATACACGTAAGGAAATGAAAGCGCCTTCTAACGCGGTAGATGAAACCAGGGCACAAACATATAAAAATTGAAAACACCACGCAAGGTTTTTATTGTTTTTAAGGGAAGGGCCTGGTTTCAGAATTGCTAAATAGAGACATAACAGATGTAAAGCACAGCTGTGACACCGAGTGAATCATTCCACTCAAACTCCGGGAGATGACGGGGTCTGAAGGAAACTGAGAGACACAGGCTTTGACGCCGATTTTCAACAGCGGCTTGGCAGACAGCTTCAAATGTCTACTGGGCTGGTACACAGCCGGCAGGACAAGGAAGTCCAGTTTCTACTTCCGCCCCACTAGGTCACCTCTTCCTCCTTCCCGCCTCAAGCGAGAGGATGGAAAATTCAGGCGCACTGCCGTCAGCATCAGGGTTCTGGCCCTCCTTTCTCTCTCTCTCTCTCCTCCACCCGGCCTCCCCCATCAGGCCCCGCCCTCCTTCCATCAGGGTCCCCCCAACCCCCAGCCGCCACCACTGCCTCTCAATGAGAGTCAAAGGTGGTATGGCGACTTTCCCCACTGCTAGTCCGGAGCCCTTCCTTGCTTTTCTATGCCTCATTTGATGCATTCCTAAAATATATGGCTTAGTTGTGCATCTGTTTTTTTTTTTTTTGAGACAGAGTCTTTCTCTGTTGCCTGGGCTAGAGTGCCGTGGCGTCAGCCTACCTCACAGCAACCTCAAACTCCTGGGCTCAAGCGATCCTCTTGCCTCAGCCTCCTGAGCAGCTGGGACTACCGGCATGCGCCACCATGCCCGGCTAATTTTTTTTATATATATATATACTTTTAGTTGTCCAGATCATTTCTTTCTATTTTTTAGTAGAGATGGGGTCTCGCTCTTGCTCAGGCTTGTCTCGAACTCCTGACCTTGAGCGATCCACCCACCTCGGCCTCCCAGAGTGCTAGGATTACAGGCGTGAGCCACCGCGCCTGGCCAGTTGTGCATCTTTTTAAATTTGATCTAAATGGAATCATCTGGATACATTCTTTTGGTTCTTGTTTCTTTGACTCACTGTTACTTCTCTAATATTCATCTAAGTTGCTGTGCTCAGGTATAATTGATTTTCTTTGCTGTATAGTGTTACATTGTATAACTGTGCAACAGTTAGTCCATTCTCTGGTTGATCCGTATTTCCACTGTTTCCAGTGTCTGATCATTAAAAACAAAACTGCTTTGAACATTCTTGTACATGTGTCCTTAGGGGTTTCTCTACAGTACATACCAAAGAACGGGACTCCTGGGTCATAGAATGTTCATTTATACCCTTCTGGTAAACGGAAACTTTTATATCATTATAAAATGCTAACCCTCCTTTACTTCAGTAATTCTTTTCAACTTAAAGTCCATTTTCTCTTATATCAAAAAATTGCCCTAGCTTTCTTTTGCTTGTACTTATGTTATCTTTTCATCAAACTTCCTTTTGTGTTTTTTTGTTTGTTTTGTTTTTGAGACAGTGTCACTGTCTTGCGTGGGCTAGAGTGCAGTGTCGTCATCCTAGCTCACTGGAACCTCAATCTCCTGGGCTCAAGAGAACCTCCTGCCTCAGCCCTTGGAGTAGTTGGGACTATGTGCCACCGTGCCCAGGTAATTTTTTAATTTTTTGTAGAGATAGGGTCTCACTCTGTTGCTCAGGATGGTCCTGAACTCCTGGCCTCAAGCAATCCTCCCACCTTGGTCTTGCAAAGTGCTAGGATTACAGGCATGAGCCACCATACTTGGCCTTTTATCAAACCCTTAATTTCAATTTTGTATATCTTTATGTTTTAGATGTATCTCTTTTGAACAGTACATAAATTTTTTCCAATCTGACAATCTTTATACTTTAGCTGAAAGATATAGTCTATTTATGTATAATGTAATTACTGATATATTTGAATTTAAATCTATTCATTTTGTGCTTTCAATTTGACTTTCCTGCTTTTTATCTTTTCTGTTCTCCCTTTGGATTTACTGATTATATTTTAGGATTTCATTTTTCTCTTTATTAATTTAGAAGCTATACAGACTATTTCCATTCTCTTACTGTTTACCCTAAAAATTAAAACATGCATCTTACTGAGTTAAGGGGGAAAATAAGACGGAAATCAAAAGATTCTTTGAACTAAATCATAAAGAATTAATTTAGAAGCTATACAGTTATCAAAGTTATCAAAATCTGTGGGACACAGCTAAAGCAGTCCTGAGAGGAAAATTTATATCCATAAATGCCTACATCCAAAAGACAGAAAGTTCACAAATAAACAGTCTAATGAAGCATCTCAAAGAACTGGAAAAGGATGAGCAAACCAATCCCAAACCCAGCAGAAGGAAAGAAATAACCAAGATCAGAGCACAATGAAATGAAATCAGTAACAACTATACAGAAGATTAATAAAATAAAAAGTTGGTTCTTTGAAAGAATAAACAAAATTGGCACACCCCTTGCTAGATTAACCAGAAGCAGAAAAGAAAGGACACTAACAGGCTCAATCAGGAATGAAAAAGGAGAAATTACAACTGACAGCACAGAAATACAAAATATCATCTATGACTACTATAAAAATCTCTATGCACATAAACTTGAAACATGGAAGAAATGGACAAATTCTTAGAAACACACAGTCTCCCCAGGTTGAATTAGGAAGAAACAGAATTCCTGAACAGACCAATATCAAGTACCAAAATTGAAGCAGCAATAAAAAACCTTCCTAAAAACAAAAGTCCCAGACTAGATGGTTTCACACCCAAATTTTACCAGACCTAAAAGGAAGAACTGGTACCTATCCTTCAGAAACTATTCCACAATGTCAAGAAGGAAGGAATTCTCCCCAACACGTCTTATGAAGCC